AAAGGTCTAGTGGTACCCATATACTCCATATATAATTATTCTTGGAATATAATTTGACAATATAAAGATTATATACTTGCCTTAAACTAAAAATTTATATACTTTATCATTAAAAGTAGCATATCTGCGTATTCTCTCAAATAATTTCATTATAATTTTATTGTGACTGATTTTATTGGGGAATTTCACTTTCATGATAAAATTTTAATCTTGAAAGTGAGTATAAACAGTCAATTGATTAAAAGAATATTAATTAATTTTATTCTCTCCAATACCTTCATTATAAAATATTGAATAATTTCATTATAAATTCTCCAATACTTAATCATTATTGTGATTGATTTTCTAATGTATTAATGTATAGGATCATTATTCTTCCGGTCTCTTCTTACACCCTTTTTATCAGATTGTTTCTCTTATATATTATTAAACATTAGTTTAAAAAGGGAAATTATCATTGGTACACTCCAGCTTTTGGCTTTTATCTTTGGTACACCTCATTAAATTTTCATTATCAGCGGTACACTCTTAATGAACATCTAATTACTGCAGTAACTACACCGTTAATGAAACGTTTAGTTAGTTAATACAACACATTTTAATTGAAAAAAAAGAGTAAAAGACCTCAAAGCCCTCCCATTTAATCTCCCTCCAACCTTTCCCTCCAACATTTGCCTCCTTATATAAACCTAAAATAATCAAAAATCAGTAACACTATAGCATACAAACTAAAGTCATCAATTTGAATAAAGTTAGTAAAAGAGTACAAAAATAAGCAAGCATACATATTCATATGCAAAACAAACATAAACCAAGGCTAATAAGCAACATTAGAGCATAATTCAACCAATCCACAGTACTTAATTCAACCATTCACTAGAATTTACAAATTTCATCTGAAACCTAGCAATTTAAATCAAAAAATTCAGAACTTACAACCAGAGATAACCACTAACCTTTTTAAATCCACAAAGCAAGCCTGAAACTCCTTGGAGTAAATGAATACAATTGGGCTTGGAAGGAGAGTTATTGAGTGGGAGGCATTTTAGTCAAGTCAAGTTTAAACAAAATCCCCGTCATTTACCCTCACTTAACGTTTGTTTAACGGTTTAGTTACTGTAGTATTTAGGTGTTAATTATGAGTGTACCGCTGACAATGAAAATTTAATGAGGTGTACCAAAGATAAAAGCCAAAAACTGGAGTGTACCAGGGATAATTTCCCAAAAACAATTATTAATGTACTTGTATTATAATGTACTTCAATATTGTATACAAAGTATTACATTATCCACAAAGAATATGTGTATGATGATAATAATGCGAATTTTAGTATAACATCCAAAAATAAATCGACCAACCTAATCGATCAATAATACTAGTAGTGCATGTCATGGTCGTAAAGGTGATGATGAGATCTAATCTGTTTACTTATTATATCACTAAATTAAAGTTGGATAATATGTTATTTTTACAAGGCAACATAACAAGATTCACAAAGATTTATATGTGGTTGACCGTACCGTACTACCAGACACAATATAATTTTTTTTTAATTCTTCTTCCCTCTCTTCTCTATCTCCTTTTTCTCTCTCCTCTTTTAATTTCTTCTTCTCCGGTTAGCCATCCATATCATTCCATTCGCCAAGCTATCTCCTCTTTCTCCAAAAAAGGGTAGCATACTTGCAAAACAAACTACCTGCAATTACAAAGGAAGAACGCATGTGCTCCACCAACCTGTCGTCGTACTCCGTGAGCTCCTCGCACTCCATTGTCGGAAAACAACTTAAAGGTTTTTAAGGCCAAATTCGACCATAAAAACTCTAGATCTAGAGTTTTCATGGTCGAATTTAGCCTTTTTAGCCATATTTGAAGAGAAATTCGAACCATTGTTAATTTTAAAGGTATTTGTTCGATTTAATTTATTTTTTTAACAATTTGGTTGTGGGTTCAGTTGGATCTATGTTTGTTTGTGGGTTTGGTGTATGGTGGTGTTGGTTTTTGGGTTTGGTGTATGGTGGTGTAGGTTGGGGGTTATTCAAGGGGTTACTTAAGTGGGGTTACTTGAAGGAGTTAGTAGGGATTGCTTGGGGGTTACTTGGGAGGTTATTAAAATGAGGTTACTTGAGGGGTTACTGGAGGGGTTACTTAAGAGGTTACTAAGTCGGAGGGGTTACTAGAGGGGTTACTTGGTCCGGTCAGGGGTTACTTGACCCGGTCAGAGGTTACCAGGTCCGGTCAGAGATTACTTGGTCTGATCAGGGGTTACTTGGTTGGTGGGGTTATTTTGTCATTTGCTAATTTAGCACCCTGTTGTATAGTGCGGCTAACCGCACTAGAAACACACTTTCAGAATACTTTCGGTTCTTAATATTTTGTCTCATTTGATTTTTTTTATTTTTTATTTTTTATCCGCAAGTTTTAAACGTTTAATGAATATTTTTAAGTAACGAAATCATTAGTGATTAAAATGTGTAAAAAGTTTACATTTTGAAATCATAATACATAAATCTCAACCAATTCAATCTAAAAGGAATTTTTTTATTTTTTATTTTTTATTTGGTTCTTAATTCTTATATACTCCGTACCTTTTATATTTCAATCAATAAATAATTTTGTTCAAAATTTTTTAATCTCTAAATAGGACACATACAAAGAAAAAAAAACGGAGTGAATATTATAATGTTTCTTATGACTTTGATATAAAGATTCATGAATGTTATGGAGTATATTACCCAGTAGAAGGAATTAAGTGAATAACTAGGAAAGTACGAGTAGTGAAACTTTTTGTTTTTTCTTGAGTATTACCTAATTAATATTGATCATCAATTTTAATTTGGGCCGCCCGCAAAATTTGGTCGTACCTATAGTCATAAGCATTATAATTTTCAGCTAGCTAGTTTACTCACGTGGGAAATTCCATTAAAATCCATGTTTTTTTTAACAGTCAAACAATTTTATAAATATATACCAAGTATTTATTTATATCTTTTTTTTTTTTTTTTTTTTTAATAATTGGATTTAAAAACTTGTTGTTTAAATTTGGTAAACAGTCAAAGGCTGCTATTCACTATATATATAATGTTGTGGTATCTTTGCCATTTCTTTAATTAATTTCTAATAATCAATTGATTAAGGCCTAGATGATCGACTTTAATTAGAACTTGGAATATCCTCCGTCTAATAATCTTTTACACATTATAAATTCATTTAGTCAATGCAACAAGTGTTTGATAATAATTTCAATAAGAATGGTTAATACTTTACAATCAATTGAAAGTTAACAATAGATACACTCAATTAAAAAATTGACACTTATATGTCATATTAAACAATTTATACCTTTAATCGTTTAAAAAGAATAATTAATTGATTTTTTCACTTTCGTAAATGTGTGTCAAAGACTCAATTAAGGCCACATGCATGTTGTGACTATAAACAATGAAGAAAGTAAAATTTAGGTTATTAATACAAGTATATAGTACCAACCTAATTTACCTCTTCCGAATATTTTGTTTTATAAATAATTAAATTAACTCATTAATGTATAGATAAATCGTACAATATCTACAATGGAAATAAAAACTAGCAAATACGACTATATGTGGAGTAATCGTTTAAAATAAAACCAACAACGCATTTTATATTAGGTTGACTATGACCGAAATTATTAGCCTGATTTGCCTCCCCTAAACAATGGTAATTTGACCTAACCAACTCGAAAACATTCAGTTATCGATGGTCCTATATACAATACTCTTAATGGAACTAACTACTAATTAACGGATTTCATAGTTTATGTCTCACCATCCATTGTGAGTTTTCATCATAATTTTGGTCACTAATACAACATGTAAGTCTCTGTAATGTCTCATACTAAATATAGCAATAAGCTAGTATAACTTTCACCAATAAGTAGAAAGCCGACTTTGCTATATTTGTTACACCTTTTAATTTCCTTGTTTATTTTAACCTTTACTTTTGTAATATAATGGCTAGGTCAAACATTTAAATTTCCTATTATTCTAAAATGATGTTTGGGTCAAATTAACTATTGTACTAAGATATTTCCCCCAAAAAACTAAAACAAATTAATGTGTCGCCTTACCTAACTCGATCATAGTCTCATACATACCATACCTAATACATGTAAAATGTCGAAATAGCTTTAAGGAGATTTACTTGTACTATTTAATTATTTTGGTGTAATAAGATCGATTTGACATGGTTATATGACCATATATATAATGATATAGAGTGATACACGAAATATCTTATTATTATATATGACTACATAATGATTGATTAAATTCATAACGGAGTATAAAATATTAACTCTAGTATCTTGTAAGACATACAATTAATTAGTGCGGCTTATATTGTAATACATTATGATTAATATTTAGTGTTTATAGTGTTGGGAGATCGGTTTATCGCATGTCATAATGACCAATTTCTTATCTCACGATATTTAGCATCACAATTCAAAGCAAATTTAGTACGGCAAGTTAATCCATTTTTGTAATAAGAAGTGGCTTAGCATGATTGGTCAACTTTCGAATTTAACCTAAATACTTCAGTTCAATATTACCCGATAAACGAAATTGGACAAAAACAATTTAGAGAAAGCAATACGGGTAAAACTTGATTAACACACAAGTATATTTAATGAGATTAACCTTTAAACTCCTATCCTATGTTCATGTGCTGTTTTTTTAACCTTGATAGTTGATATAAGAATTCAATCAAATCTGGTTTTACCTTATGTACACATGATTAATTACACCTACTTATTTCTTAATTTAATTTTTGTAGGTGACTTGAATGTATATTAAATCAAACCAGATTACTATTAGGGATATTTGGTTAAAAGGGTTTTGAAGCAAAAAGAGTTATTTAACATTTTTAAAAAGGTATTTTGGGTGTTCATTTGATAAATACTCGTATGTTTTTTTGGTATAAAAAGGTCAAAATAGGTATAGTACCAATTATTTATCAAACATGTTTTTACATACAAACTAATTTCAAACAACTAATGCAAACATCTACAAGCTAGATATATCAGCTAGTCAAAATAGCTAACAACTAACCACTAAACAAGACCTATTAATATAAATAAATCAAGAATATCTTTGATAAAAAAAAAATAATTAGTAATATAAAAAAGTAGGTCCCACCTAAAAACACCACCCACCATCACAAGTTGACATGTGTCAAAATCATCCCAAAAAAGTCTAAAGAGAGGAAGGTGGTGTCCTCTACTACTCCTATGACTACTACTAACTTCTATAAAATCTAACCATTTCTCTTCCCAATAACTCGTTGCCAAGATCTAGCTTATTTAGTCCTAACTCTTAGCCCTCCAACTTTGTCCACCTACCCTTTTCTCTCTACTCTCCACTTCTCATTCTCTTTATTATTCCCTAAATAGTAAATAAATATGCTTTCTATCTCATCATTCCACCCTTCCACCACCACCGCCGCCGCCGCCGTCAACCACCACTCACAACAATGCTCAGCCTTATTTTCTCCTCCTACTCACCTCGCTCTCCCTCTCCGCCACCGCCGCAACAACAACCTTCATGTTCGTTGTGGCGGCGGTGGTGGGTCGGAGTCTAATGATTTCGTTGTATCCTCATCAATTTCATCATCATCAACTCGGGGTTGTAGTGACCCCCTTGAAGTTGCTAATAGAGATGTTAAGCTTAAGATTGGTATTATTGGGTTTGGTAACTTTGGTCAGTTTTTGGCGAAGACTATTGCTCAGCAAGGTCATAGAGTTTTGGCTTATTCTAGGTCCGACTACTCCCGTGCTGCTAAGGAGATCGGCGTCGAGTATTTCTCTGACGCCGATGATTTATGTGAGGAGCATCCTGAGGTGAGATTTTTTATTTAGTCACGTTTACTATTTTGCGATGTTTGTTATTATCATAATTATTATGCCATAATAATTATAACTTGTGGTTGCTCAAAAATACTAGTTAGTCATTTCATTTATGGTTATATTGTGATAGGTTGAGATAATGGGATTGGGACAATAATTCGAAAGAGTGGGAATTATTTTGGTTGAAACTTTAAAAAAAAAAAAAAAATGCAACTTGCATAGATAATTCAAGTAGCTTTTTATAAGTTGGCCCACAATAATTAATAAATGACCTAACGTAACAATTAAACATGTCTCACTTTTAAGTATAAATTTGTAAAGAGTCGATATTATTGTTTTAAATTTGGTGTTTAGAAAGCCACTAGGGCAGGGTAAAAACCGATCTCAGGATCTCCAGAAATCAGGAGGAAAACTCTCACCACTTGAGCTATTCTTTACTTTTAGAGTCTATATCATTGTTGATAAATTAAAACAAATAAGGAGTACTAATGAAGTCCATAAACTTGATTATTTTATGGCTTTTAACCTTATTAACATGACAATTATCCATTGTGAAAATATTAATTATCATATCACCTAGTTTAGCCGGTTTATGAAATTGTAGCAAATGACGTACAATAATAATGTGTAGTGACTTTGATTTTTAATTCATTAGCCTATTCAAGTATTTTGCATCTTTTTTAGAAAAAAGACAAAATATACAAGTTAGAAAATGGTGCTACCGAATAAAAAAAGAAAAAAAATTAAGTTAGAAAATGGGATGTTAAAATGACATAAAGTAGCCTTACGCAAAAATTTTGAACCGTTTTTGTTTGACCACGTCGTGTTTATTTAAAAAAGACACAAGAAGGTCAATTATTTATTTTGTAATCTATCACTTTCTAAAAGTAAAATCTAAAACGCTCCTTTACTTATAAGGTTGTGACATTTCGATGATTGAAAATCTGGTGCGTAGACTCGAGAATTGTAAAGGATAGTGTTGTAAACGTGATCGAATTTCAAAATTAAGCATGACTTGTCTACAGTCTCCTATGCTAAAACTGTTCTATTTTATCATGTATGAATCGGATTAAAATTGACATACGTAGTAGTACGATAATGAATTTAAGTCCCCATTTGTCTCCTCTAGTCGTCCTAGTAAAATATCTCACGTATCAAGTTGGTTTTGTTCACGCGGTTTTGTAGCACTAGTAGTTATTTTCATTATTACAACATTATTGTTCATCAATAAATTGGATTTGGTAGGAAATACATGGTACGAAGTACTAGCTTGACCAATTCTAATTTGTGTACATTATTGTTATCCTTTTTTCAGGTGATCCTTCTATGCACCTCCATCCTATCAACGGAGAAAGTCCTCCGCTCGCTCCCTCTCCACCGCCTTCGTCGGTCCACTCTCTTTGCAGATGTCCTCTCGGTCAAGGAGTTCCCCCGCTCCCTCTTCCTACAAGTCCTTCCTAAGGACTTTGACATCCTTTGCACCCACCCAATGTTCGGCCCTGACTCGGGCAAGAACGGGTGGGGCGGGCTCCCATTTGTCTTCGACAAGGTCCGGGTCGGGTCAGACCCAACCCGGACCTCTCGGGCCGAGGCATTCCTAGACGTCTTCAGGAATGCCGGGTGTAGGATGGTGGAGATGACCTGCGCCGACCATGACAAGCACGCGGCCGGGTCACAGTTTATAACCCACATGATGGGCCGGGTTTTGGAGAAGTTGGCCCTAGAAAACACACCAATTAACACAAAAGGGTATGAAAGTTTGTTGAATTTGGTGGATAACACAGCAAGAGATAGCTTTGAGTTGTTTTATGGATTGTTTTTGTACAATAAAAATGCAATGGAACAGTTGGATAGAATGGATTGGGCTTTTGAGATGGTAAAGAAGCAACTTTCGGGTTATTTGCATGATCTTGTTAGAAAACAATTGATGCTTGAGACTAATAATGAACAAAATGGGGTGGATCAAACATTCATGCTTCCTTCTCCTAGTGATGATCGTCTTCAAATACCTCCCTCGTCTGAGATTCCAGAGAAGAAGGCCGATTTTGTTGTGGTCAATGGTACTAGGTAGACAAGGTAGTGTTAACAAATAATGAAATCGACGACAACAGCAACAACGACAACAACAACAATAACAATATTCGAGCACGTACGTATTGAGCCGTTGGTGCTAGAGAGGAGATACAGGATGTTTTGGGGGTTCCTGAATCCATTGCAGCCTCATTAACTGCATTTTTTTGTTACTGATGGTTATGTACCTATGTTATTTTTTTTGCTCAAGTAGTATAATTAGGTTATTAAGCATGTATAATATTAATCAAAGTAAATTATAGCTAAGTGAAAGTAAGTTTCATGAGATGATAAATAAAAGTACAAATCATGAAAGTTAATTTATTTTTTCATGTGTTGATTAATAAAATGACACTTAAAATTTTTAACAAGATCAAGGTGGGACGACTCTGCTTTTACACATGCATGTTGTATTCTTCATTTCAGTTTAAACTGTTGGCATACCTCAATTTTATAAGCTAATTAGCATATCATCTAACAACTCGACCACCAAGGCGCAATATTAGATGTGCATATGTCATGTATGCACGCTTAATTGTGGAGTATCTTAGCATACAAGCTTCCTAAAAGTAAAAAAATATAGATGAGTAGATGACTTCAAACTCCTTATATGTCAGATTTGCTAGGTTATCGACTAAGGGTCTGACTTCATTGACTGAACTCAGCTGAACTGAACTGAAATGAATATTATATAAGAGAAGGAAATTAGAAACTGAAGTGAACTAAACTGAACTGAAAATAAACGTATGAGAACAAGCCCTAAGAGTAAATTAAAGTAGGGGCAAAATTTCATTTGTATTATTATCAGTGAGGATGATAAAATAAATAGTTTATACTACCAAGTATATATTTTACATGTACTTAATGATTAGTTTAATTAAATATTGGAGGGTATTAGATGGTCTGGTTAGATAATAATAGATATTGACATGAAACATTTTTTACAAAGTATATGTTGTACCACGTTGTCTCTATGCACATCTAACAAACACCAATTATTACTGGTTCACCATCTTTTGAATGTTATAAAGTCATATACTACTTCCGTTTCAAATTTTTTACAAGTTTGGAATATTTAATATCTCACAAATAATAAACTAAAATTGCAAAAAATATAAAACAGAGGTAGTATATTAAAAGTTTTCCACAAAATCTATATCTCCATTCGACCACTCCTTAGTTTTTTTGGAACGTAAACTTTTAATTTTGCTTTGTCCTAATTGTAACTTGTATCCATTTACTTACGAAATCATTATTCCTCAAAAAAAAGATACGAAATCATTATTGATCGATCCATCACTCTCTTCAATCAATTGTCATGCATCTATCAAAACAATTAAATTGCGTGCAAAATGGTACGAGTAGTAGAAATTTATGTGGCTGTCTAAACGAGAAGTGCGTTTCATGCATGCTAACTTCCTATTAATTTTGGAGCGTTCGTTATAATATTCTTTCTCAATCAAGTCTCAAATTGCAAATTTAATTCTCAATGAAATAACATCACCGAATTAATTGCATGTTTGTCAATAATTCTAAATACTTCGTAGCTTATAGTATTGATTATTCTCGACGTAATTTAATTATAACGATTAAAGTCGTGTTGCATTATACTTTAATTTGTACGTACTAAAATAATTAATTAATGTACTATAGAATATTGTTCTATTAAAGATCCGAACAAAATCACAAAAATAAAAAGTCAAGCTTATATATATTTGGCTTACCTTAACGTGGCTTGGCTTGAAATTAAAGGTTGAAATCTTAAATAATTAAGTGGAAATGAGATTGATAAGAATTCAAGTAGAAGTAGATAAATTATTATTGGTATTGTTTTCAATAATTTTAAATCTTAATTTTAAGAATTTTCATCAAGTATATGGTATATATTGAGGGATATTTTTAGCAGTATATTACTAATTATAATGGATCGGAGTAGAAATACAACATTGGTTAGATGAAAGTTTAGGTCGACTCAATCATTAAACTGGTTAATTATAATCAAGAGTTGGTGTTTGATCAAGTCAAATAAAGTTGAGTGTCTAGTAGAAAGGTTAGCTATAATTGCTAGAAAATCCTATCCTATTGTTGGTCCAAGTATCACCGAATGAAAGACAATTTTAAAATATGGAATAATACATGTCTCTAAGGGCCTGTTCCGATTGACTGAACTCAGCTGAACTGAGCTGAATTGAACTGAACTGAACTTATTAATTAGTGATTTCTAACTACGGATTAGTGATCTTTGATTATTTATTGATTATTTATTACTATACATATGTCTATATACAAATGTACATATTATTATATTATTAATATTATTATTATTATTATTATTAATTTTGATTATTATTATTATTATTATTATTTATTGATTATTATCATTATTACTATTGTTATTATTTATTGATGATTATTATTATTATTATTATTTATTGATTATTATCATTATTACTATTGTTATTATTTATTGATGATTATTATTATTATTATTATTATTATTATTATTATTATTTATTGATTATTATTATTATTATTATTATTATTTCAATTATTATTATTATTATTATTATTATTTATCACTTATTGATTATTATTATTATTATTATTGTTAATATTATTATTATTGTTGTTGTTGTTGTTGTTGTTGTTGTTGTTGTCGTCGTCGTCGTCGTTATAATAAGAGCTTAAAAGAATGAAATTTGGCTTTATATCATTAGCAATATCATTAGACGTAAATTAAGAGCTGAACTAAACTGAGCTGAGTTAAACTGAACTGAACTGAACTGAACTGAATTTCAACGGAAGAAACAGACCCTAAATAGCAATACACACGTAGTATATGTTCTGCTTAAAGTTTTCATATAGATTTAATTTGCAAATATTTCTAAAGAAGTACGAGACATGCATAATGATTTTACTCTGTAACAACTTACCAAAGAGAAATATGTTGGGAATCTTGCGATTAGTAAATTTAAAATAGATGATAAGGTCGATAAATGATTCATAAGAGTACGTATGAGAAAATAAATGAAAGTTGATTTGAGGTTCTAAGCTCCTGTTCTTTTCACCTTATTTTCACTTATTTCAAAGTTCAGATAAGTTTAAATAAATTGTGATGAGGGTTAATCAGGGCGGTCAAGTTTGATTTATAACTAAAATAAAATAAGTTAAGATAAGTTCAGTTAAGTAAAAATCAGGTGAATAAAACGCACCGTAAGTAATACGTACTAGAACAGACACCTATATTCTATATAAATGATCAAAATGACAGAACAGGTGGATCGAATCCACATCCACCCCAAGCTTAATTATAAGTGATAATATTACAAATTGCATGTTGTGAGCTACCAAGTTTAGCTCATAACAAAAATAAGTTCTAATAAAGGTTAATAATTTCAAATAAAATCAGATAAGTAAAAATCAGGAGGTGAATAAAATGCACTGGAAGTGATACATACTACAACGGACACCTATAAATGATCAAAATGACAGAACAGGTGGGCGAACCCACCCCAAGCATTATAAGTGATAATGTTACATATTGCATATTCTGAGCTAATTAAGTACAAATTAAATGAACTGATTATATTGTCAAACATCCCAAGAAAAGGGATAAGGTAGGTGTCAATTCGACAAAATTACTTTAATTTTAAGTTGGTTGCAAAAAATCAATTATGAAGGTATTGTGTTCATACTCTTCTTCTAATATTGTCTGCAAAACTACGTGTTATTGTATCTTCCTCAAATAGAAAGGAAAAAAAAAACCTACGTGTTGTATCATTGTTAAGGCACCTCATCAATTAATTCACTTATTTTAATCATTCTATTTGCAAGTTACATACTCCAAAGTCCACACCCCAAACCTATGCTTGGTACATGAAATCAAACACAAATATTCTCTTCGTTCCTATTTATCCAATCTATAAGAATTTGATTATTTTTAGTAGACGTGTCAGTAATTAATCAGTAATATATACTAGTACGGACGTCTTAAACAAGAAAACGTGGCAAATAAAAATAAACAGAGTGAAGAACACTATTACGGATTTACAACCTATCTTCCCTTTACTATTTATCCTCTGCATGCAGGCCATTACAACAATTATTGCATACTACATATTAGAATTTACAAGATGTCCTACATAAGCTATTTACCTACCTTTAATTTGTATCACAATGTAAACGCTCCAAGCCTCCAGCATATATATATATATATGACCTCATGTCAAAGACTAAGTAAAACCAGAGTTCAAAGTCTTGCACTTACCTACCAAAGTAAAGCTAAATAATTCTTATGAAATAAAAGTTTTAACAATTAAAGTAGAAAGCATAAATATTTGACATTTTGACCTACCCATGTCGATACAAAGCCAAACTAGTGGCATCTTTTACTTAATTGCACCAAACATTAGTAAAAGATCCTAATATAGACAACTAGCCTTAATTCAAACTAATAATTATTTCAATGAGCATCTAATTAATCCCTCCATGCATTCCCATCATCCCATATATGTAAACTTCTTGTGAAGGTCATGTTTTTGGTACGAAAATCGAAGAATTTTTTTTTTAAAAAAAAAATGTTAAATTTAACGGTTTTGGTGGTGAATCTATTTTTTTTTTTATGGTATTTTAATTTTTTTTTTGGTAGTAATTTCAAAAATTGAATTATTTGTGGGTGGTAAAATACAAAATTTAATTTTCAATTAATTATTATATTATTATTATGGTATTACATGTATTAGTGTTGAAAGTGAAACAAATGTTCTGTCAAAAAAAAAAAGAAAAAAAAAAGAAGAGTGAAACAGATGTTCATCAAATCTTAATTAACAATCTCATGCAATTGAGATTGTGTTTTTGTGTCCCCATTCTAATTTATTGTGATCCATTAGAACCATTCCTAAATGTAGGAGTTGGTATTTTTGGAATCGAATCTATCATTTATTCATTAATTAATTTTAAAATATACAGTATTTATAAATTTCCTAATATTTTTTTTGAATAGATAAATTTCCTAATTTAAAACTAACTAGGTTATTGCCTTATTATTGGGTCCAAGTGGTGCCTCAATTGTTTATATTTTATTTTGGTGCAATCATTTAATTTATTATTACATGACAAATGTCTATATTCTTATATGAGGCTTGAATGCTAGTTGATTAAAAATAATTTTTATTTTTACAATAAACTAACAATATATCTACTTAAAAAAAAAAAAAAAAACAATATATATACTCTGAATCATACTATATATATGATGACAATACATTAATTTTTTTTTATCAAACCTACACCTCCAGATCAGTAGATCACATGTAAACCTTACGGAGTATATAATATATTTGATTTGCAGTATTATTTTCGGTTCACGTTTTTCTTCCACAAAAACAACACATCACTACATAAACCTCACAATATATCTAATTTTAAAAATATAATAATAGATTTTATTTCAACCTAGAAGACCATGGACATGGACATACAAATGATTAATTGTGGGTCTTATACAGACAACATTTCAATATGTATCTTTGAACTTTGTAAGGAAAATCAACATGCATGACATAATATTAGCTACTTCGTACTTCGTGTTTTTTTTTTTTTTTTTTTTTTTTTTTGAAATAACTTCGTATAAGGTAAGACTAGCTCTTAAGACTACTTAAAATATTAGTAAGAAAATCACCAACTACCCATGAGTATATTTTCTTGACTAAAAATTGTTTGATAGTGATCCTTAAATTAATATTTTATTGGCTGATTTTTATTTTTTTTTATGACAAATTAATTATAAATGTTTTTTCTTTTTTTGAATTTACTATTTTTTTTTTATATTTTCATAATTAATTTATGAATTATTTTTATTTTCAATAATAATAAAAACTAAAATTTGTAAATTAATTAGTAGAATGATAAAAAATTCAATATTTATTTAATAATTAATAAATGAATTTAAAAATTACACAAATGATTTATAATTAGTTTTGATATTGAAAATTAAATCAATATCAGCCAATAAAAAGCTACTATAATAATAATAGTTTTTCAATACGATTACATTTTTTGACATGTGGTCTAAGTCATTGTGACTTTGTACATTATTGTTCTCTTACCTACTTAATGTTATGTTAAATTATGATACTATTTGGTGCCTTTTGTTGATCTTCTTACTTTCTAATCCATCGATGTATTTCTTATTAATTTTCCTACACTTCTTATATTTTCGTTTTATGACAAAGGAAAGTATTTCTTTCACTCACTCCACGACAAATAGATACATTACACTTGGAGTATTTGTGTCTTTAGACAACATTTTTTAATTTTTTACCCTTTTAGCAAGTTAACAACCAAGGGATTTAGAGCCTGTTCTCATTGACTGAACTCAGCTAAACTGAACTGAACTGAATATTTATGAGAGAAGGAAATTAATTAGGAGCTGAGCTGAACTGAACTGAGCTGAACTAAACTGAACTGAAAATAAACGTATGAGAACAAACCCTTAGTTTAATTTTCACTAGAAATTTATTCTCTCTCGGTTTTTGTTGAAACAACAAGTTGAAATTGAGTACGAATGAAGAATGTTAGTACACCGTAACTAGATTTGTTGGTTAAAATCTTAGGAAATTGTATTAAAGAATTATTGGAACAAATTTCCAATGCATTCACATTGTATCTATCTAAAGTTCAAAAAATCACTCTATCAACTTCATACACAGATACACTTATTACTCCAAAATTTGATGTTTAATTAAATTGTTTGCATCATTATCACACAATTATAAAATTATGTATTGCATTTGCATGCATGAATGACATCTCACCAAAGCTAAGCTACTACTGTACTTAATTAATAGTCAAACGCGCACATACAATATTCTAACCTAATCTTTGCATCTCACCAAAGCAACTACTTAACAGACAATAGTCAGTCAACACATACATATACTAGTACAATCTAATCTAACCTAATCATAATTATGAATGTTACGTATAAATGTATTAGTTGAAGATAAACAATCTTTTACGATATTTGATCCACACGGTCCATTTGATGCTAGGTCAATCGACTTAATTGACTCATGTAAGGAGTACCCTACTGTGGATCGTGGAGTAGCTAATATGAAGTATCTATATCTATCTATCTATATATATATATTGAAACCCATGGCAAAAATTGCAATCATGTCACGTGTCATGATTCTTACCACGTGTCATGATTCTTACCACGTGTCGTCATGACTTGATAAATGATGTGGGGTCATGTGTGACTCATGTCATATTAAAATCGTTCATTAATGTTTCCTCACAAAAAATTTATGTTCATAAATTCTAAATTTTTAATTGAACTTATATATATATATATAATATATATATATATAATAGCAAATTGATTTCAATATAATCACATTCTTTCGTTTACTCATCCATAATTCATATAGGTTATATGTACTACGTATTTAAAATATGTAACACAAAAATATATAGCAATTTTAAAACCACAACATGTGTTTACTTTGAAGAAATCTATAAGGGTAGATAAAGATTCCTGTAACAAATAAAACAAACTAATATGAGTATAAAAGTTAGGTTATTGCTTATTTCATAATGAATTTTGAAAAATTCAATAATATTTTTTTTCAATTATAAAACCACCAATATATTTAACTTTAATTTATTATATACAAAAAATGACCCGGGGCATCGCCCGGGCCTAAAACTAGTTCTGTAATTATACTTCCTTCGTGTTTTAACTACTCCGTATAACACTTTTAAATTTACACCATTCATAGTTTCACATACTATACAATTTCTATTTTTGACAAAACTTCCAAATATTGAGTAGTACTTTTTATAAGGAAAAACATTTTTGCGTGGCTTTTTATTATTAGACTTATTTTGACGAACGAGTTACATGATCCTCTGCATCTTTACTGATATGGAGTATTTTTTAGGACGAACCTCAAACCCGACCTAAAAATACCAGACTTATTTTACAGATCCGTACATGATTTTTTTTAAACTACTAATAAAACACTAAAACCCTAGCATTTGTTATATACACTCGGAGTCATTTGCTTATTTAATCAACAAATAAGCAAAAAAAAAAATTGACTCCAAATGATGGTATATCCGGATGTAGGCTCTCCTAAAACCATGCCGGTATAATGTTGAAATGTTTGGTAGTCTAACTAACGAGTGACTGAAGTAAGGAGGGAAAAAAAAACCTTAAAATATAATTTTCCATATTATTGAGAACCACCAAATTAATTTTCCACCTCCAACAAAAAAAAATTCCCAAATTCTCCCTCGAATATTCCGACCAATCACATCCAAATGCTTTCTCTCTCCTCCACAACCACCGCCAAACTCTCGCCGGCGCCGGCGGTTTTCCCGGCGAACCACACTTGTCTCTCTAAAAACTCCGGCAACCTCCTTTCTATTCGCCGGAGATTACATGGCGGCGTCAAAACCCTAACTATTCGCAGCATCGATGCAGCTCAACCATACGACTATGAATCCAAACTTGCCGCCGTTAATGGCAATTCATCTTCACCATCATCGGATTACCCGAAGCTCAAGGTTGCAATCGTTGGGTTTGGAAATTACGGCCAATTTCTCGCGAAAACCCTAGTTTCACAAGGTCATACTGTTCTTGCGTATTCTAGGTCAGATTACTCGAAAATTGCGTCGAATCTCGGTGTTTCGTACTTTTCTGATCCTCATGATTTGTGCGAAGAACATCCGGAGGTAATTTTGTTGTGTACTTCGATTTTATCAACTGAATATATGTTGAATTCACTTCCATTGCAACGTCTTAAGAGATCGACGCTTTTTGTTGATGTTTTATCAGTGAAAGAATTTCCTCGTAATTTGTTTCTTCAAATTTTACCTCCTGATTTTGATATATTATGTACTCATCCTATGTTTGGACCTGAATCTGGGAAAAATGGGTGGGGAGGTTTGCCATTTGTTTATGATAAGGTTAGGATTGGGAGTTCAGAGGGTAGAATTAGGAGGTGTGAGAATTTTTTGGATGTTTTTAGGAGAGCTGGGTGTAGGGTTGAGGAGATGACTTGTGCCGAGCACGATAAGTACGCGGCCGGGTCTCAGTTCATTACACATTTCTTAGGGAGGGTGTTGGAGAAGCTTGATTTAGAGGATACGCCGATTAATACCAAAGGGTATGAGAGTTTATTGAATTTGGTGGATAACACGTCGAAAGATAGTTTTGAGCTGTTTTATGGGTTGTTTCTGTACAATCAGAATGCTATGGAGCAATTGGAGAGGTTAGATTGGGCGTTTGAGTTGGTTAAGAAGCAGTTGTTTGGGCATTTGCATGGGTTGTTGAGGAATCAGTTGTTTGGGTGTACTGAGCTTGATGAACGTATTGGGAAGGCGAAGGAGTTGAAGTTGCTTTCTGATGCTGCGGCACAAAATGGTACTGCCTCAAGCTCGACTCCTAGGGAAAATGCAAATTCAGAAATTAACTGAATTTTTTTTATAGCCCGGCTCTTCAACTCGTTGGTGTGGCTATTGGACATGAATTTTGTAGCAATCAATGTTGAGCGACTGTCATCCTAGGATGTTGAGGTTGGATTTAATTGAAGTGGCTATGAAGGCATTGTTGCGGATGGGATGGTCCAGTGCACAACACTGTTACTGAAATTGCTGACTCAATTGGTTTCAAGTGGGAAACTGCTTTAGTGAGACTTCTCTGTTTGGAAAGTGGAATCGCTTTGGAATGGAGATGCATCTAACATGGTCACGCGAAGTAATTCTATGGCAGGTGCTTTAGCAAGCTAGGTGAACTGATCTGATGTGTTCCAAGTTTGACTGTGGACTTCCTATAAATTCTTTTCCTTTGTTGATTTTGAGTTTAGGTGTTTACCTATCTCTGTTTATGGAATAAATTGTTTTTAAGAATTCTACTCTTTTTTTAGCAAAAAAATATTTTGTACAATACAGGAGCAGAATTTTTGCAATGTATGTATGATTATGATTACTGGAATTTATCTGTTGTTCAATCCTCATAATTCTTCTGATAAATGAAGTTTTTATTTATTGAGAATATACATGGTGAATACAGAATAGTGTGGCAAGGGAGAATGCAATTTGTCTTTTACTTCATTGATCAAGTAAGGAAACATTGACTGGTCATCAATTGAAATATGAATTGCTCTGTTCCTTGTCGTCAAAGAAAATTTTTGAAAGGAGAAGAAGAAGAAAGAAAGACAAGATTTTTTCTTTTTCAAAACAAAGGAAAGCTACTTTATTGAAATGAATGTTGTGTCCTTCACAGGATTGCCTTAAAATGGTTCTATTTTCTTAACAATTACACAAGCAGAAGAAATCCCAAAGAAATTTGAGCTATTTACTTTTCATACTAAGTGCCTCAAATACTTTTCAAATTTATGCAAGGTCAATATGTGTCTAACTAGCCTTCATATATATTCAAATTTCTTCAGTGATAATGGATCTATGTTGCTATCTCCTTTCTACTTCTGGTTATCTTGCCTTGAGACTTCTGGTTCTGCACCCCCTGGGTCTGAATATATCTGCTGTAGTGCCATTGTTGAGCACACAAGTTTTCAATGTTGATGGTTAGCAGTGCGTCAATCTTATGCTGCGTGGTATGGCATTAAGGATGATAATCTATGAAGCTTTAATGTTCTGTGTGATGCTGCAGTCCCTTGTGATATCGTGATGAGATTTCTTGTGAGATTGGTGAATCACTTGAAGTATCTGATTTTTTATGATCGGCGTATGTTATTTCTTATGAGACTGATGTGTCTGATTTCTTGTAGTGTCCTTGCTCAGAGTGTATTCCTGCTGGTTGTATATCAGTACACAGGTCTAGTTCAAATGTGTATTTTCTCCTATTCATCCAGTTTTAACTGACTTTGTTGATAATTTACTTTTCCTGTTTTCGATTATTACTTAGGTGCCTGTTGGTAGTTTACAAGGTTGACAGATAAAACTAAAATGAAAGCTTGAACACTACTAAACCATCCCACACCCCCCCTCCCTCTTTTTTTTTTTTTCCTCTCTCTCTCTCTCTCTCTCTTTTTTTTCTTTTCTTTTTTAAAAACAGATTTTGAAGTTGAATTACTGAATTTTGTATAAATTTCATGAAGGCCGATCAAGACACAAACTTTGCTCCAGCATTTTTCTGAGAATTTATATTGTTGAAAAATTTCATCATTTTTTTGCTGGTACTTATTCAATGTTATGTTGTCAAATAATTGTGCTTGGTACAATGATATTCTACAATGGTTTATGCTGAAGTTGTAATATTGTTAGAATCCATCATAGGCATCATTAGTGGCATAGTTTCTCACAGGCATCTGATGTTTTTGACTTTTGCTGGAGTCGTTCCTGCCCTGGCTGTATCTCATTTTTTTTGGTTCTGGTAAGCAGAATACTATCAGAGATATTGTTTTTATCACAGAAAATATCAGTTTTACTACTCTATGAAGTGGTTCTTGACAATGGTATTACTCATTTCTGCAGATACCACATCCAATTGTTTTCTGTACCTTTTGCTGCTGTTGTGGATTCCATAAAGCAGTTGCAATTAGTTATATCCATTGGTAAGTCTATACTCTATCATATGATGTGCTTTAGCCCTTGCATTTTATGCTATTTGTCATAGTCCTTCAATGATTCTTAATTCTGTAGTTTGACTATAAATTACACAGAATAGATCATTAGCATGAAATTTTGCCTTAATTCTGTTATTATGTACAATCAGAATGCTCCCTCAAAAAAAAAAAAAAAAGTACAATCAGAATGCTATGTATCAGTTGGAGATGTTAGATTAGTTGTTTGGGCATTTGCACGGGTTGTTAAGAAACCAGCTGTTTGGGTGTGATGAACATATTGAAATTGGGAAGGTGAAGGAGTTGAAAACTTGAAGTTGCACCCTCTTCTTTTCTTCCAATATATTGTTCTTTTAATCTTGCCTTGAATTTCTAGTTCTGCACCTTCTGAGTGTATAATTACATAAAGAAAAGACAATAAGACTGCCCATACATATTAATCAATAGCTTTAGATAAGAGCATATTGACTTGTAGAAGCTACTTATAAGAACTTCAGCACAGAATTGGAACTTAGGGTACATCATTTATTCAGTACTACTTATATCCAAATATCTGCAGCGTTATTCCTATGTAAAGACTATAAGAAATGTCAAATTCTGAAAGACACGCATGATCTCCGTTCCAGAGTCTGCAGTGCTTAAATTTTCATTGCATTGATGGCTCTTTCCGCTGTTGGAGAGTACTGGAGGTACGTTTTTACGTAGTTTTTGACCTTCTTGTAAAGCTGTGGCCTCTCTTTGTTTATCAGATCACTTAAAGGCCCTATCTCTTTTTCTGTATGCGGAAAACATGCAATAGCCACAGATGTTCTTTCTCTCTCCTTATCAATCACTACTTTGTGCACTGCACTCTTCAATAAACCATTACTCATTATCTGCATACAACCAAATTTGCTTCCATCAGTTTTTTTATGGGAGTTTATTTTTAATTATTAAGGATTGAATTAATGTACAAATACTGTGCCTAACCTGTTAAATTTATGAGTTACTGTTATGCCAAAAATAAATTCTTAGTTTATGTTAATACAGAGTATGAAAGATGATACGGAAAATATGGTCACTTATGGGTTTTTTTTTTTTCTTTTTTTTTTTTTAATAAATTATAGTCTATTATGTTTGTATTCAACAAATAATAGATAAATAATGTTTGTATTCAACAAATAATTTTCCTATGAAATTACCTCTAGTTGGTCTCCAATATTGATGAAAAGGGTATCAGGAACAATGGGAACTTTAAACCACTGGTTATCTTTCTGTACTTGAAGACCTTCAACCTCTTTGTCTTGTAAGAGAATGGTAACTGCTGAAGCATCAGAATGTGGTTTGAGGCCGAAAACGTGATCTGAGGATGAACATGGAGGATAATAGTTGAACCTTGCTAGCATATATATGTTCTGCTCTGCTTCACACTCTCTGTAGAACCTATCTTCTTCTAAATTGAGTGATTTTGAGATGGCCTTTAGGATCATTTCTAGCACCCGCCTCACTTCCTTGGTGTATTCATCTAATGTTTCCCTACAATTGCTCAAAAATTGACAAAATGAATTCCAAGTTTGGGTGTTATACCCAAAATACTTCTGAGGATTCTTGTAGAAAACTTCCCATTTGGGTAAAGTCTTCCACTCTACTCATATCCCTAGATAATGTACGAGGAAATATTTTGGAAGCTATTATATTGTACATAATATTATGTATAGAATTATTACCTAAAATTTGGTAATTCTTCAGGCCAAAGCTTGAAGTTTCGCTGATCATTAGGATAAACTTTGAGTACCAGTCTATCACTCCAGCTATAACTTTGATCCTCAGTAACCGTATCATTTCCATATCCCTCAACCCATTGTAAAGTTCTAGAATACTTCTGCTTCACTTCTTGTGGCAAAGCAAAGAAATCCTTATCAACCTCTTGGATTTGGTTAAGTAATGAGCTTGTCAAACCATGATTTGTAAGCTGAAAAACATCAAAGAACAAATTTTGAAACAAGTTTTCTACTAAAACTGCAAGTATCAAACAAAACATTATGGATACTGAAACTCTGAACTCTTAAGTGTGTCAAAGCTAACCTGAAAACAACCCCAGGAACTCAGAGTGGATCGCAGTTTTTGCAGTTCTTCTTCATGTTGGTGCAATGATGAAGATGAAAGAAGGTTGAGATTGATTATGGGACTATCCATGTATCCAATCGCGGAATTATCAGGCACTTTGTCTGAAGGCTGGTAAATGTATCTTTCTGGTATTTGATTGCCTATAGTTTTAATCATCTCTTGAATCGTTTTTGGTGGTAATTCTAGCTTCATGGGAGGGACAGATGATGCAGCCATTTTACTTGGTGAATCCAACTGGAAAACAAGGAGATTTATATATATTGAATTTGCTAGTTGTTCAATTCTGTGGTTTTTGTAGCTTTAACTCAAAAATATTCTGATGATTAATGAATCATCAACAGAAGCAAAAATTGTTTTTTAACCCCTTTTTCTTTATTATTATTTTTTTTAAAAAATAAATTATTTGAAAGATTGGGATCAGATGCTTTTGGTTTTGAATTGAAGTTTTTTGAGCTGAGCATTTAAATGGAGTCTTTCTTTATTGTTGGTGGGACATTATGTTTTGTATTATTATGGCTGTGTGCTCTCTTCATTTCATATTACCAGACCACTTGCATTCTTTCAATATACATATTATATCACTGAGCTCATCAATATGGAGCACTTGGTAATTTGGTATAGGCGGTCCGCGTTGAATGCCAAAACAATAATTAACAATGTTTTTATTGTTCCAAAAAAAAAAAAGTTTTTATGTCTATTCGTGTAAACTTAAAAGACATTTATTTGGGATCGGAGGGAGTAATATACACTCGTAGTCAGGTATTTGATAGATGCCAACTTGGAAATTTAGATTATCATCACTGATTTGAGCCTCTGCCTTTTGGATATAATATATGTCTGTATGAGTATATATCAATCTAACCTACAAATTTCTTACATTTGATTTCAGCTCTGATTTTTCATAACATTAGCTGAGGATAAACTGTAATTTTTATCAGTAATACTTTTTTCCACCCTTGTCTAATATTCCTGATCTTTTTTGTACATTTGTGGCCTTTTCTTGTTGATTAAATCCCTTGGTGGTCCAATTTCTTTGTGTGTGGAACAGATAATAGCCACCTTTCTTTCTCCTTATTTAACACTACCGTGGCCGTATGCACAACACTCTTCAATATGCCATAATAAGCATACATTCAGGGTTTTTTTTTTTTTTTTTTTTTTTTTTTTTTTTTTTTTTTTTTCTTAGGCCCTGACTTTGACAGTCAATAATTTTCACTTCAATTTGTTTTTGATATTTACCGAGAAAAGAAAGCGAAGTTACAACGAATCTAGGATGCCTTGACAGAAATATGTTTAATATCTAGTAACAAAAATATAACCACTGTTTTAAAGCAGAAAAATTTTAGTCTCAGGTTACCTAACTGGTTATTAAGGTTATTGAAAGGGGCATCATGATGGGAAATTCGGCTATCTTTTCTGAACTAAAACGCCTTGAACTTTTTTGTCTTGCAGGAGTGGTGATTGACATACCATCAAAATGCGGTTTAAGACGTAACAAGATTTGATAAACTGAGATTTGATAAACTGGTAAATACACTGTACTTTTCTGGTATTTTCTTTCCTGTAGTATAATCAACTTTAGAACGGTTTGTGATGGTAATTTTGCATTCTCTTCTACACTGGTATGCGTCATTGTAAAAGCTGGTGGTGTTGAATTAAAAATGTTTATATGATACTTTAGTATTGACTTATGTGTGATTGAGCATATTAGGGATATTGTAGAAATTACTGAAGTACATTAAATTCAGATCTCAAAATGCATAGGAAATCATTCTTAAGCAACTTACATTTACTTGAGCTTTGTTATTTTATTCTGAACTAAACTTATTGGCTCTTATTTGAACTTAACCTCGCAATATTTGATTTGTAAATCAAACTTGGTTTCTAACTTTATCTAAACTTACCTCAACGTACCAGAAGGTGAAAAGAACAAAATCCCAACACCTGATAATCATCAACTTTTGTCACTCTTCTTACTATAAGTTTACATTACATTAAGCTGAGGGACTTCATGAGACTGCCCATAAGTATGTACAAAAGATGACAACAGAAAGCAAGGTTCCTTCAGAAGCTAATTAAAGTACATCAAGAACAAGTGAACAACCATAGACATTTGATTGTACACAGCCTTATCGTGATCTATTCACTAGTTTTAACTCATTTTAGATAGGTTTTTTTTCTGAAATGCCCTTATAAAACAACCTACAACTTAAAGTATTACAGCCAGAAGTTCAGATTTTCATTGAATTGATGGCTCTTTCTCCCCTTGAATAATATTGGAAGAAAACACTAACATAGTTCTTGATCTTCTTGTATAGTTGCGGTCTTTCCTCACCAACTAGCTCACTTAATGGTCCTATTTCTTTGTCGAAGGGTGGAGAACATACCGTAGCCAAAGAAATCCTTTCTTTCTCCTTATCTATCTCTACCTTGTGCACTGCACTCTTTAATATGCCATTGCTCATAATCTGCATACATCACATTTTTCTATCAGTTAGTGATTTGAGACCCGGCCAAAAACAGAACATAAGGTCTATTATTGGCTTATTGCAGTGTTAGTAATAATTTAATAAACCTCCTTTCAAAGTACCTCCAACTGGTCACCAATATTGATAAAAAGAGCGTTCGGAACAATCGGAACTTTAAACCATTGGCCATCTTTTTGAACCTGTAAACCTTCAACTTGTTTGTCTTGCAGAAGAATGGTAACTGATGTACCATCAGAATGTGGTTTAAGGCCTATAACTTGTTCTGGTTTTGAACATGGCGGATAATAGTTGAATCTTGTGAACATGTTTATAGCTTCCACTCCTCCACACTCTCTCAGAAAGCTGTATTCGTCCAACTCAAGTGATTTTGCAATCTCTATTAAAATGGTTTTCATTACTCTCCTCACTTCCATGGCGTACTCTTCCAATGTTTCCCTGTAATATGAGCTCATATTTATCAACTTTGGTATAATAAAAGAGAATTATAGTTTTAAGGAGTCAATCATATAGTACATGATTGTATGCAGAAAATTCTCACCTGAAACCTGGTAAATATTCAGGCCAAAGCTTAAAATTCCGGTGTTCAAGTGGGTAAACTTTGAGATGCAATCTATCATTCCAATTATAACTCTGACCCTCACAAGCTGTATCACCTCCATAACCTTCAAACCAATCCAATGTTCTGCTATGCTTCTGTTTATCTTCTAATGGCAGAGCAAAGAATTCCTTACCGACTTCACGGATTTGATCAAGTAACGAACTCGATAACCCATGATTAATAAGCTGAAAAAACATCAGCAAAGTTGCAAAATAATGAGTCTAATGATCTGTGACAGCAAGTACTCCAGTTTATTTTATTTATTTATTTATTTTTTTTAATGGTAAATAGTGTTCAAAACAAACCTGTAAGCAACCCCAGGAATTAAGAACGGATCGAAGTTTTCGCAGTTCTTGTTCGTGTTGGCTTGATGATCCAGCTGAGAGTAGGCTAAGATCAATTATTGGACTGTCCATATATTCAATATCAGAGTGATTATCATCTGAATTGTTTGGAAGTTGGACTCTGTATCTTTCTGGGACTTCTTTGACAGTAGATTTGATCAATTCTTGAACTGGTTTTGATGGCAGTTCAAGATTCATAGGTGGAAAAGATGATACAGCCATCTTACTCGGTGAACTAAAATGACAATAATGAGAAAAAAAAGGTAGAAGAGATTAGGTGCAAGTTGGATAAGTATATTGTTTTTATGGTTCAGTCACTTGATATACATGGAAAGGCTAACAATCGATGGAGATTTATTTACTCTCTCTATCCCAAAATAAGTGTTACAAAAGTTTTTCATTGTCATAAGAAATCTAGTCATGTTAGATCAACATATCACTTTATTTTTAACTACGTATAAGGTTTCTCATCATACAGTCAAAAAGATATGCAAAATCGTTTGTGATAAGAAACCAAGCATGCTTGGTGGAGACTCACCTTGTGATTTGGAGGTCACAAGTTCGGGCCCCACCAACTACAAAAATGCTTGGGAGTAGGGGGGTTCTCTTACCTCCTCCCGACCCCCTCTACTCTTAAGCGATGACTCGCGGAGTTGAGCGGGCTAAACTTGTGAGAGGTGCGGGTTTAATAGAGTCCTTCAAGTAATTAAGAGCATGTACTGTGCATTTGTATTGAGTACGGTACTGCTCGTGTTTGACATCCTCAAGTTCAATTTCAGGTTTAAGCCCAGCCCAATTAAAAAAATTGGGCCCAATATACTTACTTGGACTTCAAGATTAGGTCATCTTCTCACTTTACAAATCTTCCTTTCTCTGAAGTGAAGCGACCAGAGCCTAGACCAAGTAAAGCGACCAGATCTTCAATGAACTCCTTCGCCGGCGACCGGTCAATAGCCTGATAAGCTATATGTCCATGTACATTCTATCACGATGAAAAATGATAACTTTGTTTAGCTAGCTTTATATGCATCATTATACTAGCAAGGCAATTTCGTGCAATCATGCGTATATATGTATCATCTTTCACAAGCTTACTAAACTCAACATTATATTTTTTTTAAAGATTTTGTAGAATTATTAGTTTATCTAGTAACTTTATTATGTAACAATTTTATTATTATAATTAGTTTTTGAGTTACATTTAGATACTTCTATCTTTGAATTTCAATTACCATTAATTTTAAACACTGACCATGGCTGGGGAATTATCCAGTTTAATACATGGATAAAAGTTGGATAATGATCCTATGTATGTAGCCTTAAAGGTACAAATTGTATTTAATTTAAATAATTGGAAGTGGTACCGAGCTTCTGAATTGGTATTCCCTCTACTCAATACTTCAATATACTTTTCACAAGAATTAAGGAATATAGAATTATCAATTCATATTTGTAAGTATAGTTGCATTTTTACGGAAAATTACATAATTTAATGTTGATGAAGATAAAATTATACTCCGTACTTCATATATGCTTTTGTAGTATATAACATACTCAATTTTGCATTGGAAAAAAATAAAAATCCATTATCAATGTGATTACATTATATTTATTTTTTTTTTTTGGAAAAATGAGGATATAAATATATTTTCGGACACCATTAAAATATAAAAAGATTATTTTCTAATGGGACAAAAAAATCTAGAAAAAAGAATAAACTTCCTAAACTTTGAACCCCCATATATCTAATTACATCCATTACAATACATATTGCGTAGCAAACAAGCATCTATCATTATGACCTAATTTTCCAAAAACATAAGCACTAATTTTCTATAAATATAAGCTTATCAATAATTAATGAGGTCATCCCATCAATCCAAACAATAATAAACAGTATTTCCTTCCAATTTTCTTTGCCCTAATATTTTTTCCCTTTCATTGATCTTCAAGTTAGAAGAAGTAAGGATGAATTCTTCGAAGAAGTTGGCTAAAATTACCCTAATTTACCCATCTTTGGATGAACCCGGGAAGAAGATTCGAGCTGTAAAATTTGTGAAATTACCAAGATCATACTTTACCAAATCCAAAGACATTAATGTTACATCAAAATCCTTGGTTTCTTGCAAGACAAACACCCTCAAATCCTCAAAAACAAATACAATATTAGCAACTAGAAAGAGTACTACAAAACCTCTAAAGTCAAAATTCGTTAAAGGAGCAAATGCAAGGAGCACTACTACTGCGCATTTGATTAGAACTTCCGGCACTTCATCGTTGCTGCGTCAAGGTGTTGTTACTAAGGCTGCCGGGGATAAAGAAATCGTCACAAAGGCTACTAGGCGCGCTATATTATTGTCAAGTGACCTTGAGAAGATGAGACACAACCGAGACTATTCTTTCTTATTCGATGCCAATTGAAGGTGAAGATGATCAAAATTCAAGAAGTCATATGTTGTAATTTGTTTAGTTTGGAGTTTAATGTACGATGATATATCCAAATCTTTATGTTACGTCTGCAATAGTTTGGTATAGACATCTATTTGAATATATTATTCTACTAGATTAACCAATTGTTCACTTTAATGTTTAGGTTTTGTTTCATGTAATAATCTTATTGTCTATATATCTTTAATGTACTCTATTTAGATTATTGATATTCTAGAATTATTTCTTCCATCAATAGTATATGTATGTGTATTCTCTTTACTTGATGGTATAGGTCCTAAGGCACGCTTGCACTATGGTTGTCTCGAATTCTCGTATTTAATTTAATTTGTTTCATGATTTTGGAATATCGGTGTTATTTCGATCCGAATTCATCTAGTTTTGTCTAATTTAAGATCCGAGTCAAGAATATAGGTTCAAATGTTGTTACGTTGTTATTCTATTCTAGCTATTTGATTATCACGCAATAGGCATCAAAAGGTTAAATCAAAATCCCAATACTTAATTATCATAAACTTGAGTCACCAAATTTATTATAATTACATAAAGAAAATTAAAAAGGCTTAATAAGATAGCCCATACATACACATACGTAAACATGAACAAAATGTGAAAGAAGAAAGAAAGCATGGTTCCTTCAGGATGCCGTCGTTATTTAGAGATATTGCAACAACCTTATTGTACATACCAACATATTTTAACAGCCAACTATATTATTTTCGAGTTCATATTTAATTTCATTGCAGTGATGGCTCTTTCTTCCTGCATAAAAGCTTTTAGTGTAATCGTCGACTACTATTGACTACAATAACACAAAAAATCTAGACCATTTTTGTTTCATATTTTTTTTGTAAATTTAGGGTATTATTTGTAAAATATAAAATATTTCAAAGTTGTAAAAATTATGAAACTGAGTTAGTATTGATTAGGGGATTTTTATCCACCAATCACCGTCTGACAAGTGGACCAACCAGGTTCCGCCACGGGTCCTTCACGAAGGCCAATAGGAGCCTGCCACGTGTCAATCACAGATACGTTCTCTACGGACCAATCAAGGCACGCCACGTGTCCACCCATGCCAAATGGGAAAACCGGCCATCAAGGCCCAATCCTGTCTAGAGGCCCGGTCAGCCCTAGGTTTACCCTAAACCTAGAGAGTGGCACGCTTCTCAAGGCTATAAATACTCAATTAATCCTCATTAATTAAGTAGTGAATAAAAAGATCAAGAAATCAAGCAGAGAAGAACAGAAATATTACGGAACACCAACAACCGGCTAATCTTGCTAACGACGCAGATTACCAACACTAAGCACTCTCACCTAGAGAGATCTTATTACTTTAATTTCCGTATTAATTACTCCTTAATCAGGTACTAACTTGACCGTTGGAGGCGGAGCTCTCAGGAGTCTCCGTTATTTTGCAGGTACAGGCGTCCAGTTCCAGTCTCGGAATTGTAACTCTCCCGCAGGACATCAGAAAACCCCGAAACAAGTATTTTTTTTTTTTTGAAAGAAAACGGAGCTAGTATTTAGTACCTCCAAATTAATTACTTCGTATTATTGAGCATTTACAACTGACGTAGTCGTATGTATAATGATTACGAGTGCAAAGTATTTCCATATACTATTACATTAAAATACGTTTTTCTTTTTCTTTTTTTGGCTTAAAAAACGTGAATAATTTGTGTAATTCAATTAATAATATTCGATTCATATTTAATGTGGTGTATGTAATTCAGGGGTATAATTTTCATAATTTATATACATACTGTAGCAATACAAATCCTTTCTTTCTCCTTATCATCACAACCTTGTGCACCACGCACACTCAATTCTTGTTCAAAAAAATTAATTTCAATCTCGTAAAAAGTAATTTCAACTCAATAAATTAAAAATTAGTTCAGCAAAAATAAGGTAAATTAAATAGAGCCCTAGTATTAATAATAATTGCTATGAATAGGTTGTAGTAAGGGAGTTTGGTCCCTAAGTGTTGGGCACAACGGTAATTTACTACTCCATATGTATCACTAGTAGGATTATACGGATGATTTCATTGATGTGTCTATCTATTCATATACTTTGTATTATATACTTCTCTAACAATTCTCAGTTTAAGCTTATCAATGCATTATTTATTTATTTATTTATTTTCGACAGGTATCAAAACATTATTTTAAGTATAATATTTTGATACCACGAAAGATGTAAAATTAAAAAAAAAATATTATGAAAATATATATAAATCGAGACAAATTTGACAAGATCTATAAATCATCAACGCTAATCAAAAGTAGAGTACGTACTAGAGTATTTAAAATACAAGTAAAAAAAATAGACCTGATGGAATCCTTTGCATTAGCAATGTGGTGGTTAGAGCACATGATCTAGCAACTGGTGCTAGTAAAAGACACACATGTATAACACTTATCATTATTTCTTTGCGCTAAACGAAATAAATTCTAATGATAAGTTTATCTTAGGATGAATGCAGGGCCGTCTCCGGCAATTTGGTGGCCCTGTTCTAACTAAAATATTGGGTCCTTAAATTTTTAAAAAACTATTTTTAAAACGTTAAAAATATTAAAATATTATTATTTTAAAATAACTTTATTAAGTATTAATAATACAAATTAAAGAGGAAAATATTCATATTACTAAGTTTAATAATAATTCAATAAAAAAACAACTAAAAAAAATTTTATTTATAAAATGTCATCCTTCTAACATTCTTCGAAGCAAAATCCTTAGTTATATCTTCATCATTTTAATTTTGATTTGGAAATAAAAAGGCAAAATCGAAGATTTAGGATGATATTTTGGGTTTTATTTTGGAAATGATGGTCCTTTACGAGAAAGAAGGTGAATAGATAAGTTATGATTTTTATTAACAAGTCATCATTTTTTTAAATTATGGGGCCCTGATTTTTTTAACATGT